ACGTTTATGGAAAACACAGCAACAAAGAAACGCTTGATATCTATTGAGGATTATTACTTACACCCAGACAAGTGTGCAGCTCACAGGAGTGCGCAAATCCGACGTTTACAAATGGTTTCCTGTTTCTTTTACAAATTACACGTCTGCCTTCGACAGGGTGTTGATACCTCCTTTTAATAGCTGAGCTACTGTTAATCATTAATTGCATCAGATATTTATATCGCCTTATTTCATAAATAGTTGGCTTCCTCCAACAAATATCCTTGTTTGTTGTTAGTCCCGTTTATGCATACCATCGTTTTGCTGTTAATCCCTGTTAGATGTATATAGGTCTCTTCTGTGAAAAATGACTTCCACACACTCTTGGCTATCATCGGATTCTATTTGGTCTGAAGGTCACAATAGCTGGGAAATATATACGAAGGAATCAGTGATGACACCAGGTGTTCGCGAATTTGAGAGAATTTGTTTGTCATGATGACTAATACTGGACTCTAAATTCCGAAACAAGTTTCGCTGTTGATACAGGTATTTTGTTCTGGATCCAATAACTATGTTTGCAAGATCTACTTTCATATGTAAAGCCAGCTTGGTACCCCCTATCTTGTGTTCTATGTCGTTTCCATATTTGTAAAACGTGTGTCGGTGACCTCCGTCGTGTGTTGTTTGTTAGCAGCAGCAAATGCTTCAAATGATACCCTTGTTTGTTTTTAGGTTATTAAAAATTCTATCCAATTTAGCTATAATAACGGTAACGCTATTGTTCAGTGCATTATCATTTGCAGAAGACCTCGGCCAACAACGGCACTCTCCATCCATCCTTCCATCCGTCAAGTAATTCTCAATTGTTGTTCTTATTATAATGGTCCACTTCACAGCATTTGCAGACTTGAACAGGTTTCTGCAAAGATAAAGCGCCCTATTCGAGGATCGATTAATGAGAAACCAGGCTGTAAGAGCCGGAAATACTAGTAGTTACAGGCATAATGTTTCCGCACAATACGGAATCACGTATTGTCTCTCAAGACTACAATGCTCACGCGCATGCCTATTGCAACAATCTCAAGCCGCTTTACCTTTCCACGCGTACGGCACATGATCGGTACACGTGTATGCAAAACCAAAGTAGGCCGGCCACTGCAAGATTAGTTGACAAGAACCCCTTAAACTGTCTTCGGGAGATTGATTGGGACCATGCCACTCTTTTTAACAAATGATTAATGCTGACTCATCTTGGGGGCTTAGCCCAATACTGATTACTGAACATCTGAAGTTCACGCTTTGAGTACACAACCCTGTTGTTTGTATCCTCACAGTACATAATCATCAGGTCCTGTTTATTGTCATTCCACATCTGAGCTTCCAATATATTTACATTACCATGACTTCACTTGATTTCTTCGAATATCCCATACTTGTTGTGACAGAAAATGTAAACAAGGAATATCTGACCAGATGTGTTAACGTCTGCTATGCTTGTTCGTGCGTGTTTAATGTGTGCAAACATATGGGTCACTGACAAATCTATACAAGGGGTGGGTGTGAACGTGTGGTGCTAACTGTGATAGACTGGCTTGATCGATTTGGTAACCATGTGTATTTCACTTATTTTTACAACACCTGTGTTTACATCAGTAGTGACGGTAGAAAACTGCTAATGATCCACGATGACCGGACGAGACAGTGACTGAAGCTTGGACTCCCATCACCCTTCCCACCCAAACAAATAACCAACATGACTTTAGCATGTGCATCAATATTTATTTATATAAGCATAACTGGGACAGTATCTTGGTTTTCTTAAGTGGCACGGTATCAGTATTGTTAATATTTCAGGATTTGTTTGTTTTTAATTTGTACCATATAAATAAAACTCATCTGTCAAATTTTATTGGTAATTGTCTAGCCTATGTGGTACACTTCAGATACACAGTCTGCGATTGATTGAGGCATGTGGGCGTCTTGTGACCATCTGCCTTATGTAAGGACTGGTGTGGTCATTGTGGACCCACCATCGGCCCTGATACATTCTCCAGTCACAAAGGCTGCCTTCTCCGAGGCTAGGAAAGCCACAATGTGACCAATTTCTTCTGCGGTACCCGCTCGACCAACTGGCGTTGCTTTAGTCGCGGCACTCTCCATCTGGAACAGGGTGAATGAGTCAGTGAGAGAAACAATGTCGTTTTTTCAACTTGTTATGAAGGGAAATGTATTTGGGCTGGTTCTCTTTGAAAGCCAAAATGATTTACATTCATTACGAGACCGGTGAAGATCCGGAATAGAATTGGTATTTAGCACCCCACGCTTGTGTAAGAGGCGACTAGATCGATCCTCATTCTCTTGACCAGACTCGATATGTATGCCGCCATACAGCTGCAATATTGTTAAGTGCGGCGTTAAACAACAGTCAATCATTACGAGAATTATTTGTTAAATAATTTGTTGGTTCTGCATGAATGACACCTGGCTATGGCAAGGTTCGTTCTCAAAGTGTGACAAATTGACATCAAAGTTACTCTTCTTATTAATTTTCGGTTACCCCGCCTGGTATGGCAGCACCAATATAATTACCTTGGCCAAATCGTCTTTCGATAACAGGCGAGACAATAATTGAGTGGGTATGTAACCTGGGCTGAAACAGTGAAAACAACATCGTGAATAGAACAATCGTGCTAAATACAACAACAACAAAAGACAACACATCTGACATTGAATACAAACACAAACTGTAATAATGAATATAACAGTCACAAGGATAGTGTTTACCTTCGTGTAACCAAAAGGCCACATGATGTGCTTATTTACTGGTTTGTTACAAAACTACTTCCTGTTTGTCAGTTCCAACTTCCTCCTTCATGTGCTCCACGTGTGCATGTATGAAGTGATCGATACTCTAAAATTGTAAGACTTGAGAGATTGCTGGTAACACATATTGTCACATGCCATCGTTTCCCAATTGCGTAGATCGATGCTCCTGTTGTAGATCACTGGATTGTCTGGTCCAGACTCGTTTATTTATAGACCGCCTCCATATAGCTTGAATATTGCTGAGTGCGGCGTTTAACAACAAACAAAACCGAACATGCACTGACTAAAACAAGTCAACAGTACTTTCTATATAAGTATTACCTTTCTTTGTGTACTTACTTGACTGCATTCACGCGCACTCCGTGTGAAGCCATTTCTGTAGAGAGAAATTATGCTGTTTATTCGCTTGTTGGTAAAGCTGTTTAGTAACATATTATCAACCAGTTGCCTTCTGTGACAGGTATAGCTCCTTTTGAACCAAGTCTAACTCGGAGTTCTTGTTCCATAAAACCATGTACTTCATATTCAAGCTGAATCTTTTCATTACATATCGAGTGACTGATTTGGTTTATAGCTATTTTTCTCTACAAAATGTAAACCTACTTTCCTATTTCAGAAGTTTCAGTTTCTGCACGATCTTAAAAAGAATTCCAATATCAGTTTTTCTCTAACCTTTTAACTATCCACCACTTCTGTCTTTTCAACTATATATGATGAAAATATGGGGCTTGAGGTAGCCCTTATCACCTTTGCCTTGGCCGGATCGCAAATAATGGAGATGAAGCATTTCACTAGGTGTAGTTATATGTACAGCGTGATGTTTCGTCGTCCAAATTTAAATGCTTTGTTACAACCCACAGCAAACTCTATCACCTCACATGAGTGGAAACACATGGTTTTCAGAAACGTTTTGCATTTTTACCATGTGCAAGGTATCTTGTGTATGTATCCAAGGCCGCCTTCTACATGACATAGACACCGAATCCCGGAACCTGCACGGGAGAGAAGGTTGATCATAAGTTGAATGGTTTTTGCATAATAGATGGAATTAACAGATGTAGATTGTTTACTCCAGTTCATACAGATATCTAAAACGGTGAGGTAGGATAAGGTTCAATATTTGTCCCACCAAGGTAAGATTAGATCTGAGACTTTTTTCTCTTTAGTTTTCAAAACAACGTTATCTCAACACCTCCGACATCTCCGACAATTTTACCTGTATATAGGGGTGATGACAGAAAACAGGGTACACAATGGACACAAACAACAAACCAAGTGACTTGCCAAATGCGACACCACAAAGGTGACATGCAGGTGTACAAAGTTCCCATTTCCTTGTAAATTGGAATCTACCCACAACAAAAGGGTGGAAGCCACTTAAATTACCACTACTACCTTTTTCCTTTACTCACACAACACTCACTTTGGTCATGCCTTTGCTTTAGGATGTGGTACGTGTGGCCTATTCTGAAATCAACCGATAAGGTTTGAAGGAGGTTGGTTTTACACGTTGTGAATCATTCTTGTTTTTGTCAACATCAAACTCACAATTGTTCTTGTGCCGCAAGTTGAAATACTAACCACACATCCTGAAACATAAAGGTCTATTTAGCCCTATAACGACTCACATACGTAACATGCTACTGGAGAAAACAGGAAAATATCAGGTTTTAGATGTGGACATCTTATTTGTATCTTAGTTATTGGAAAATGTTTATATGACCTATGTTAGGTACTCAATACGTTTGGATCACTGCATCAAGACGTACAATCACATCCTTTGTCTGAAACGAGGAGCAATTTGTGGCTGCAACACTCAGCATATACTCCTGTTAAACATTCTTTCGTCCAAAATCTTGACGCATTTAATTATCTTCAGAAATCACTAGTTTAAAATAATGTCAGGCCACAAACCACACACATGGTAAGTAGAAACCCTTACCACATTCATAAGAAGTCTCTCTTAAAAGCAGAGTTGATTGTACAACTGTAACTGTATCATGACTATATCTTTGCTTCAGCAGCATTACTGCTGTATGATGTTGTTTGTAAGCAAACAATTCAGTGTTGTAAAATGTAAACACCAAAGGCTGGTGGAATATTGCTCTACATGAAAGAGAAGTAGACTATTGGAAAATTGAAATCATCCTTTTCGTCATACAGACACACTCACTTACAAGAAAGTACCTTTAGTTTCAATCAAATACGGTGCAACTAACTGTGTCAAAAACAGAGGTGCCTCCACGTTTATGGCCATGACACTGTCGAACAGCTCTTTGGTCGCTGATTGCAGTGGGCTGATCCCTGCGATCCCAGCACTGTTCACCTAAACATAAACAAAAGATAACACAATTGTTCATGTACTTTTTAAACAACCAGTAATGTAAAGACTACTGCACATATTCCAGAGAATGCTGTGATTGATAATATCAGTATACACCAGTTATCCAATGAACATCCGATGTCTTGAGTGGCCTCATATAACTATGGTTTGGCCTAGTGGTTCCAGGTTCAGGATCCGAGATCAGGACTAGTCCGTGGTGATATTGCCATAATATATACCCATGGCAATGGTAAAAGCAACTCTACACCAAACCAAGGCATGTTTAATTTAATGGTTAGTGGATTCTCCGTGTAATCAGTGTATGAGTTTTAATTATTTTACTCACAAAGGAAAAAACTTCAGGGGCATGCTCTTACAGCTTATAAATCAAATTATATTTTTATGATCAGTCAATTCATGTGGTGCCGACATTTGCAGGATGGATCTGTTACTTTATTTGTGTTAAAAGAGGTCACAATTCTATTCAGGTTTTCGGAAGCCTAGTTGACATATACTCTGTACACAAGCCCTTTTTCAATGAATGGTCTTATGTCGCGATTATCAAGACACAGCACCTTCAGTTTCAAGCAGGAAGTTCAACTGAACGTGTCTGATTCCGGATTATCAACAAAAACGTGAAATATTGCAGTCTTTCTTTCTGATGGTACAGAAAGTATGCAAGCATATGTCCGTCCAACCCTTCTAAAGTAGTTACTCACCAGAATGTCTATTTTCCCGAACTTCTTCCTGGTGCTTCCACCAGAGTCTTTCTGAAAGCATCCTGTGTGATGTCACCTACGTTTATGAGAACATCCTGAAACAGATCGTTAACACGCTATTGAAAACAATTCTATCTAAATGAATGATAATATCCTCTACTTGCCAGTGAGGAAATAGAGCCGATAATTGGTAAAGGAACTTTTTTCCAAGGCACACCTCAACATGTCCTTGAGGACAGAAATCCCTGTCAATCATGAAACCAGGGGCAAGTATTGTAGGGTCATGTCTTCATGAATAAATCGGCATTTATAAATATTTAGAAATGGATGCTGATTTCTCCATCAACTCAAGATTTCACTATTGATTCCTATATACGTCAGAAGCTTCCGTCTTGCAGTTCTTGGCCACTTCCTCCAAATTCTTCTCGTTCCTGCCAGTCAGTGACAGTTTGGCTCCTTCTCTCGCAAGTACTGTTGCAATTCGTGCCCCAATTCCTGAACTGGAACCTGAAAGGAAGAGCATGCTGACTGACATCTTACAATCATTTCCCGATTCCCAGCTCTTGATTGTGTGTGTGTGCGCGTGTGCGTGTGTACAATTGAATTGAGTTACATCTTCTTTTGCAATTACGCCAAGCTTGTAAGAGCCAATGATTCAGGTTTTAAATGTCACAGTAAGCGTTTAAAAAAAGATTTGTTTCTATCTGTTAATGTGCACTGTTGAGTGTTTAGTGGGTTAAAGGTGGCTATCATCGTTACATGCATCGGCATGCATTTTCACATGCACATTTTCTACGACCAAACGTGTATATAGTGAAAATACACATATGTTGTGACCATTCAGGATCAAGGGTCCTTCCGTACGGGGAAGAATGTGATTAACGTAACCTAAATATCGTTTAAAATTAGCTCACCATCTCCTCTTTCAACAAGTATTTGTCTCACATACCAGTATCCGGACATACAAACATCCTCATACAACCGACGCCATGAGCACTTTTATCTCTAATAAGCACAACTTTTACCACTGTATTCTTCCTTACGTGTGTCCTACATACCAATCACCGGGAATATAAAGACATGACATACATATCTTTACACAACTTATATAATCTCACCTGTGACGAGCGCAACTTTTCCTCTCAATGCCATGGCAACCGGAATTCACTGATCCAGCGGCTGTTTTACGTATTCCACGACTATGGGTTAGCTTAATATATCGCTACGTCTTCATCCGGCGTAGTCACATGCAGCTATGTGCACTCTTGCATGTACTGGGAGTAAGAACACTCTGTCGTTGTGTAACCTTGACATCAAACCTGATTGAGCACCGCACATTGTGTACCGCCAGCGCCTTAATCTTGCCTGCGTGGTATCTCTGAATAGAGAGACAAACTAACCTTTCAAGAGAGTTTAGGTTGTGTGGAGATTGGCGTAATAGTGTATCAATTATTAAAGATAAATTAGCTTAAATTGTTCACAGTTTCTGGTTGTAGCTTGAGATAGCTATTTAAACATGACTTGACATATATATATAATTATAATATACGGATGTATTTACATAACTGCTTGGTGTGTGTTCTGAACGATATGTTGTGTGTTCAGTTTAACAGCAATACCCAAGCTAAATGACTCAAATAAACCGAATCTGGAAAAGACAAACTTGTGATTGATGTTACGAGCAACGCCCATCACCATCTGACACCGAAGGTACTTGGAGACCGTTTGTGAATTTTTGGTAAGAAACTAAATGGTGTTTAGTAGAAGTGTCCCACAGTAACTGTTCGTGGCAAAGAAGCGCTTGAGATGGCTGTTTGATGATGAGTCAAACAATCGTGACTTGGTACATGTGTTTTATCGGGACTTTGTTTAACAGCCGTTTGATGTGTGTTCTGGACGATATATTTTGTGTGGTATTTGTAACAGCGAATTCGGCAGTGAAACTATATTCAATCATGTGATTCTATGTGAAGTCGTGTTGAGCTTCAATTCAGCCAGCAGTCATAGGCAGTTAATCAGTTGTGGACCTAACTTACATTTTGCAGTTATAGGCTACATACTGAATGAAGGTTTTCAAAGCCCTTGATGTTACTTGCAGAATCAAATGTAGCACACATATTAAACAAATTCTATTTATATTTTGGGTTTGGTTTGGATTTTTGGCGAGGAAAATAGGAATACTTTGTACATGACACTTTTTGCTACTCTGAAACAACACTGTTAACCGATGCAAAAGACTTTATCTAAATGTTTCAACTATGTCTTATTCAAATAACCTTTACACAAGGATCTCAGCATGTATAGGCGTATATATTTCAGAAATTGTTTTAGTATATTTGAATGTGGAGAATTAAAACATACAACAGAGGCAGGAAGATACACTTATGTACCAAACTGTTTGAGATCTTGTCTTAGTGAGTGAGTGAGAGTGGTGGGGGACACCGGAAATGTGTTTCACACAATGTACCCATGTAGGAAATCGAACCCGGGCCTTCTGTGTAACGAGCGTAAGCTTAAACCACTAGGCTATCCCACCACCTCTCGTTGGCCTTATGACACAATATACACATTTTACATATAAAATAATGTTTTACTTTGCCTGTGCTACCTCATAAAAAGAAACTTCTAATTACAGCGTCAGTTACTGTTTCCTATAAAACAAGTAGACCTCACAAATTTAACTTCCACATGTCAGTGACGTCTATACTGAAACAATCAGACTCATGTGTAAATGTTTGTCATGAGTGACTGGTAATATTGCAATCGTGATTCCTAGTACATGTAGATTAACCAACAAAATACTGCAAGGAGACCTAAACTGACAAATCAGTTATAGCCTCACAAGAGCACTCAACCAAATGCAGTGTATATTGACGTATTAAGGATTAGGTTAGCAATCGTTAAAGTAAAAAAAATGCATATGGCTGAAATGTTTAGCAGCAAAAGAAGATAACAGGTCTTATTAGAAAAGTGCTCTCGCCGATGTCCAGTGTTTGCCACAGCAGTCAAGAATGAGAAATTGTCCTCCATGCTTGAATTCTGTGCATCGCATGGAATGACAGCGGATTAAAACATATTTACCAAATGCTTACAAGAGTATTAAAATAAAAGAGTTTAAATTGATAAAAAATGAGTTTAATATTCGTGATACATATTTACTTTACTTCAAATTACTAAAATATCTCCCGTGTACATAGCTTTCGATTATCAACCAACCTACCAACACTTGTCACCTCGAGAAATTGCGATTTATTATTACGTCTTCCTCGTTCTGATGATTTTAAATACTTCTGTCAACTATAGAACAAAACTAGATCTCGCTCGAAAAGTTATGTAACAAATGGAAAAGCAAAATAGATCACAGTATTTCACAAGAGCATAATGTTAACCTGACTTGAGTTGAGTTTGGGTTTTACGTCACATCGTCATTATTCCAGCCTTATAGTGACGAGATCAAGTCTACAATCCTTCGAAATCATCTTATTGACAACCCCATCCGAAACTCTCAACACAGATTGCTTCGTCGAATCATTCCAACTAAATCTCTTCGCTATAAGATCATGCAAAGTGATGATCAACGTTGTTTTTTCTTTTGTGAACATGAACATGAAATCATTGAACACTAATTTTTGCTATTGCTGTAAAATGCAGTTTCTGATTGACAGTTTTCTGAGTTGGTTCGAAATTGAAACCAGTCGTAATATTGAACTGTTTATTTCTTCTGGGTGACCCCAATGATAGCTTTCTTGCCACTCACTACCTATTCACTATCAATAAAAAAACATTTACAAATGTAAATGCATGCAGAAAGAATTAAATATTCACTATCTCCCAAAAGCGATAAAGCTCCCTTATGATGTTGAAAATATATATTTGGTAAAAATATATTTGAGAAGATGGGCTGTCTGTTTCAACAATTAAACATGCCTTCTTCTTTCTGTCTCCTCTTTAACCGCCACCACCCTCTCTCTCTCTCTCTCTCTCTCTCTCTCTCTCTGTATCGCCTTTATTTTAGTACATATAATATGCAACACATGATGGATGTGCCACATTATTATGTAATAAGACCTCTCACCACGTATAGTTGTAGTGGATTGTAAAATCGTGGCACCTACTACGTCTCCTTCGGCTCATGATGAAAGCAAGGAATTCCACAGCTATTTTAAGCATGTCAAGATTGTTGGACAGATCTGAAATTTGAGGTTGATTTTGTTGATGGTGATGTAAAGTGATAGGAGTAAACCAGGTGAAGTCCTTCACCAAGTCTGCTCAGAGTCGGTCATGTGTGGAGAAGCTTTTTGAGAAGCCATTGCATCGTGTATACAGGCAGTGTGTGGAACAGAATAGCAATCCCACCGACTCCTTCGCCTTGATGAAGTCAGCTGGTTTTAAATGTGAAAGTCAGGGCTTATTTTTTGCTGCCCAAGACTAGTCACTTCCCACTCGCAATCGCCAGAGGGTGTTTCTTAAACAAAACATTAACAAGAAATGTCGGCTATGTAATGAATTTAGAGAGACTGTCCAACACCTTGTCAGTGGATGCCCTTCCTTGGCACAAACAACATATCTTAAAAGACATGATGGCATGGCTCGCTGATTCTACTACCGTCTCCGCCATGCCTGTGGCTTTGACTCTGAGGTCCATCCATGGTACGACCTTGAAAATGTCCAGGACGTTATGGAAAATGATGCTTTTAAACTCCAATGGAATAGGCCCCTATACAGCCCCAGAACGAACCTGATCTTGTCCTTTTTTGCAAAAAGCCCTTGAATATATTGATATAATTGAATTTTCTGTCCCTCCTGACAGCAACGTGATTGGCAAGATTCACGAAAAGCGTGCTAAAAATGCGGACTTCACCTTTGAAATGTCTCACCTGCATCACTCTGTCGTCAGACTCCCCATTGTTCTTGGTGTCCTTGGTTTGGTACCTCCTGATCTCTTGGCGCACCGGGAGCACAGCCCTTTTGGCACTCTGGGTAATGCAGAAGGCTGCAGTGTCGGGGAGTCTACATATTCTCCGGACAGTTCTTCGTGGGTTTGACTAGGCAGCGTTTCCTGGGAGAAGTCCCATTCGCTGTCTGGGCTGCGTGTAGAGGAGACAAGGGCCCTGAGCTGATGATGAGCCTTACCAACCTGACTGTGCCAGGATCACCCGAATCCACTCTGCTGCATACTATCTTTAATCTGTAACACATAATAACAAACAAAAATAATTAAAAAATGGCGTTTCACTTGGTGTATTTGAATACAGAGCAGGTTCCTTGAAAGCGAAAAGGTCATTCATGTAAATTTGAATGTCAAGCTCAACTGACGTTTATGGAAGACACAGCAAATGGCAATACTTTCGACATGGCGTAGATAGCTCCTTTCGGTAGCTGAAAGAAGATTGATAGCAAATTGAAAGGTCCGAGCATGACATATGAAAGCAACAGGAGCAGACACCTTACGTGAGTAACTAAACATAATATTCTATAATAGACATAAACTAGATTTAAAAATGAAAACAAAAACATATTTAAAACTGAAAAAAAAATCAGCTTGGGTTCAAACCTTTAAGTGTTTAAGGTCAAACACAACAAAACACGTCTCATAGAACACCATTAAAACACCCTACTCGAGACATTTTATTCTTTTTTTCTACATTTAATAATTTTATGATAAATGAGACATTCGAGAAATGTGGAACAGGACTCTTGCAAAAGCTCCACAATACAATTGCTTAGCTCAAATTAAATAAATTCCTCACATTCTTCAAAAACTCTCTACAGTATATTATGATGCGAAATTTGCCGACACATCTGATAAAATTGAGCTTCGAGCTACAACTAATTATTCTATTTTGTCTTGGCAGTTCCTCCAACAAATATCCTTGTTTGTTGTTAGTCCCGTTTAGTCATACCATCATGTTGTCTTTGTTAATCCCTGTTAGGTGTGTATGAGTCTCTTCTGTGATCAGTGACTTCCACACACTCTTGACTATAATCAGATTCCATTTGGTCTGAAGGTAAAAGTAGCTGTGAAAAGCATATGTATAAATCCAGATGTAGCTGACTAGTCACGCGACATTCCACGGATGCCTTGTGGGACTTTGGACACAGGATTAGTAAGCGAACCATGTTCTGTCACTTTTAAATTGTGGGTCGATCTGGAACATTTTTTCTGTCGAAACAGTTAAACTAATGTTTCCACCAGTGATGTTAGCAGAGGAGTAAAGCAACTGCCAACCAAACCTTTGATCTTTTAGCGAAGCATCTTAGAATATGCTATCAAAGCATAATTAAAATCAGATGTAAAAGCGTAAGATGGATATTCCGATTGAGAAATGCTGGGCAGTATTTTATTTGGTTGTATATTGTTTAACGGCGCACTCAGCAATATTCCAGGTAGATGACGACAGTCTGTATATAAACGTGTCAGGACCAGACAATCCAGTGTTTGACATCATTTATTGCTGGTGAACTGTATTCGTCCCTACTCGTGTCTTACCGACCAATCTCCGGGGATACAAACACATAAAATGTGGATCCTTACACAACTTACACCATGAAATATCTTACTCGTGATAAGCGCATCTTTCCCCAGTACCATAGCAACAGGAATTGACTGAGACAGCAAGCCTCTTTCCTGGAAGTACACCTTCACGTTATTTTACGACTATGAGTTGTTGTAGCATATGTCCAGCGCCTTATCCGGCGAAATCACATATAGCCATGCGCAGTCTTGCATGAACTGGTGCATAATAGGAGTCACTATACTGCTGAGTTATTTTTGTGTAGCCTTGACACCAAAACCTGATTCAGCACCAAACACTGAACTGTCATCGCCCTGAATAATCTATAGATAGAGAACACACTCTAATCCCCCAAGTGCTTTACGGTTATGTGTAGATTTCGCATTTATGTATCAAATATTTCCTTTCCACTTATAGGTAAGCTGTTCACATATACTGGATGTATGATAACACAATGCCATTTAGAAAGTGGTCAAATGTAACATATGTTATACTTAGGATTACACTTATACAGATTCTAGTGCCTTTGTGTGCTGGGTTGAGTCACATCCGGGATTCGAACCCACACCCTCAGAGTCAGGCACCTAATCGACAGCACACAACAGTACTAGAATCTGTACTTTACTAAGAAAGTGCAATCTCAAATTTAACATATGTTGCATTTGACCAGTTTCTAAAGGGCATTGTGTTATCATAGCTTTCGGCCATGAGAGCCGTGCCAATTTACATTTATCAGATGGGTACACACAGTTCGCATTCTAGACTACCAGTTGTCCGACTTCCATTTTCGTAGAATTCGCGGTGGCTGAGCCGATTAGGCGGCTGATTTGTGAGCTGGCGATTAGGTGCCTGACTTTGAGGGTGTGGGTTCGAATCCCGGATGGAACTAGTACTTTACTAAGAAAGTGTAATCCCAAATATAACATATGTTACTGGATGTATATTGCGTTAATATTCTTTTTCATGAAGAGTGTATCAATTCTTGTCATTATATTATATACAGACGCGTTTTCACAGCTGTTTGATGTGTGTTCTGGACGATATGGTTGTGCGTGTTGTTTAACATCCTTATCATGTGTTAACAAGCAATATTACACACTTAGAGTTTGGAGATTACGCCGCTTTCAGCAATATTCCAGCAATATCCTGCGGGGGACACCTGAAATGGGCTTCACACGTTTCGCCCATGTGGGGAATCAAACCTGGTCACGCGAACGCTTGAACCACTGGGCTACTCCTAACGCCCCAAACAACATCAGAAGGATTCTCACAACGAACACTGGCAAGGTGAAAATAATTGCTGTTGTAAGACCTTATGCCTTTTGACGTACGAACAAACAAATAAAAAACCCAAAACAAAACAAAAAAACTAACCCCCCAAAAAGGATGAAAGAAAGGAAAATAACAAAGATGACAATGAACAAAGCTGAAACGTGCCGGTTGAGAGAGTCGACAACTGTTAGACCACAATACCTCTGTAGAGGACACATGCTACTCTGATAAACAAGCATGAATTACTAAGTTATTCATCATTTGTGCTTTGTGCGGACATATCTCGTTACCACGTCACACATGCTACGCTCTTGTTCTGGATTAAATACACAGGTTTTCATGATCTACGTTTACATCGTATGTTCAGAAGGGTGGAAATCTGGTCTGACTGAATGCTTGGTACGTCAAGCCATGAAAGAGAACTGGGACATTCTGTAGGTAAAATCAGTACGCTGTCGGATATCTGGGTACATGTATTGAAACACCACCAAATGCTACTGTAATCATTGACTTGATACAGTAACAATACAAACTCTGATTTGCAATTCATACATAAAAAAAATACTTGGAAAATAATACCCAGTCTTGACAATCCTCAGATTACATTTGGCGTAAAGGTCAAAATAGCTGTTGTAAGTATATAAAAGAACCAGTGAATATCTGTGATGACACAAGGTGTTCGCGAGTTTATAAGCAGCAGCACCCGCCATTCATACCCGACGCTGCATACAAGTACTAAAGCAGCATGAATAAATGTTTGTTTTATGAAGAAAGCAGCGCTTTAACTTACGAAACAAGTAACACTGGGGATCCAAGTATTTTGTTCTGGAGCAGCAACCCATGCTTCTTGACAAATGAGATCGGGCGGTCAAGCTCGCTTACTTGGTTGACACATGTTATCATATCAAAACTGCGTAGAACGATGCTCATGCTGTTGATCACTAGATTGTTCGATTTTTCACAGACGTTCACCATATAGCTTGAATAATGCTGAGAGCGGCGTTAACAACAAAGTGAGTGAGTGAGTTAAAATATAATTTAATATTTCAGCCACATAGTGACGAGAAGTGTTTTACATAAACAATAAATTTAGGTTGCTAAATAAACAGTCATCGAAGGACTGTAAAATAACTAGAGTATCACAGATGGTGTCTAAAACTAGCATGTACATGTAAAACCATTTCATTTATGAAGACAATACAATATAAAAACGAGGTCGCCAACAACTGAAGGTAGTTCACGGGGACTTACAGTGCTTAAACAACAAAGGAACAAAAAGCGTGTTCTTGTTTCTATAACTATGTTTTACTTTAATATAAAGCCAGCTTGGGACATCCTATCTTGGAAATCCCCAAACAGTAGAAATACGGCCTAGCAATAACACTGAAGGATAGCCAAGCCTGCCCGTCCATTGATCACACCAGTTGCAGACCCTGAACGGGTTTCTTATCCTCAAGACTAAAATGTTTGTCCGCATGCCTATTGTAACTATCTTAAGCCGTCTAACCTTTCCTCACGCGTGGAACATGATCGGTACGCCAGCGTCAAACGCCACCCGTTAGGTTAGCCGAAATAGGGCAGGAACTGCAAGACCAGATGACAAGACTCCCTGAAACTGTCATCGGGAGATTTGTTACCCAGGTTTTTACGGAATAACAAGTTTTAACCTTTAAGATAGAATTGAGAATCCCCTATGTCAATGATCAGTCAGTACAGTCCCCAGTCATGCCACAAATTTAGCGCCTAAAACAGCCATTAACTATCTTCATTATTGTCAAATCGAAGAAAATGTTAAAGTAATGATTTATCAGGTTGATCAGCTTTCTATTTCAGGATGTTCTCAAAAACGGGGGTTTGTTTTGTTTTAAACATATTTTATTCATTCAAGAAAGGGTTTGGGCACAAGTTATCCAACTTAGAAAAGCCCCTCCGGATAATTATACAATTCTTCTTGCAACAAAAGTACACAAGTGACAGACATAGGCTAGGCTATGTACAACAGATGTTAACTGAGACAGCGTTTTGTTTGAGATATATAGATATGTACATATTTGAAAACATTCTGGTTTTCAGTGATTGAGAGAACTGCATTTCCATGTAAGATAAGATTATATCAATCAGTGTTCTATTTTTTGACAATATGTCCTAAAGATTTTAACAGTTTATGCCTTTGAATAGTATACAATGGACATTCAAGGAAGTAATGGAAAACATTCTCACATCAATGGCCACATTGACATGATGCATCATTTTTCACATTTATTCTATATAAATCATAATTAAGTGTACTCGTCATATATCTTAATCTAGTGTGCATAACATTGAACTTCCTTATTCTATATGAATAATATATAGGTGCGCATTTTTCCTTCACGTGGATATAGGATATAAACGATGCAACAGAGTCGCAATTTCTAATAGCTAAGGGAATATTATTCCACACTTTAACTATTGATGGAATAAGAGATGACGTTGAGTACCTCAGTCTTGTATATGGAGTTATTGGAGTTTCTTAACTCATAACTTGTCTGGTTGCCTACTACAGGTGGGAGTAAATTGACCTGATTGACTTTTATAACATAATGTTAATTTGCGTCTTCTCCTTCTCTCAGAAAGTGAATCCCATCCCGTTTCATAATACAATGAACTGGAAGATGCATATCTAGGAAGACCAGTAACTATGCGAGCTGCTTTTTTCTAATCTATTAGCTTGTTCAGTCAAACATCCATCCCATACCTCCCATGCGTACTAAAGGTGTGGCCTTTTAAATACAGTATATATTTTCGCTAGTGTTGTTCTGTTTAGTAGGAACTTTAATTTCCGAAATGCTCCAATCATTTTAGATGTCTTTTTGATAATGTTCCAATATGATGATGCCAACTCCCGTTAGACGTGAAGATTAAACCCAGATGTTTACGAAAATCGACTGTTTTTATATTGCGGTTTTCAAACTTCAAATTAATGTCTTTTCGGCCATCTTTCAAGTAAATAATACAGCTTCAGTTTTTTCCTGGTTGTAAGAAATTAACCAGACCTTTGCCCAATCGCATAATATTTCTAGATTTTCATTCATGGCTCTTTCCATCACTTGTTTGTCCTTTGATAAAGTTCCCAGTGAAATATCGTCAGCGAAAAGCCGTGTTATACAATGTAGCTTATCGGTTATCTCATTTACATACACAATACAAAGAAATGGGCCTAAAACCTATCCCCTGGGAACTCCTACTTTCAACACCATAGGCTTGGATAACGACCCGTTAACAAACACTGATTGATTGCAATCACTTACATAACTATTAAACCAATCAAGGAATTTTGCACTGACGGGGGTCACACTGCTGAAACATATTTTGTATAGTCTATTTGGTACACATCACATGCTCAGTATACAGTTTTCAATTGGTGGAGACATTTGGGCGCCTTGCGACCCTCTGGTTTATGTAAGGGCTGGTGTGGTCATTGACAACCCACCATCGGACCTGAAACATTCTCCAGTCACAAAGGCTGCTTTCTCTGAGGCTAGGAAGGCAACAATGTGGCCAATTTCTTCTACGGTACCCAACCGACCAACTGGCGTTGCTTTAGTCACGGCACTCTCCATCTGGAATATTGTGAGCGAATGAAACAATGTCATTTATTTATCCTGTTGGGCTGGCTCTTTTCGAAAACCAAGCTGGTTTACATTCATTACGAGACCGGTGAAGATTCGGGTTAGAATTGGTATTCAGCACCCCATGCGTGTCGTGGCGACTAGATCGTTGCTCATGATGTTGATCACTGGATTGTCTGGTCAAGACTTAATTACATGTATTTAGGGACCGCAGCCATATAGCTGGAATATTGCTGAGTGTGACGTTAAACAACAATAAACCATTACGAGAATTCTGGATTAAATGATATGTTGGCTATGCATGAATGGCACCTGGGTGACAATTGTACATCAAAGTTGCTCATGTTATTAATTCTTGGTTTCCCCTCCAAATATGGTAGCATAAATATAATTACCTTGGCCAAATCTTCTTTCGATAAGTTGCGAGATAATATTTGAGTGGGTATGTAACCTGGGCTGAAACAGTGAAAACAACATCGTGAATAGAACAATCGTGCCAAATACAACAATAACAAAAGACAACACATCTGACAGCAAATACAAACACAATCAACTGTAATAATGAATATATGAGTCACAGGGATAGTGTTTACCTTCGTGTAACCAGAAGGCCACATGATGTGCTGATTTACTGGTTTTGTTATAGAACTACTTCCTGTTTGTCAGTTCCAACTTCCTGCTTCGTGTGCTGCACCTGTGCATTTATGGAGTGATCGATACTCTAAAGTTTTAAGTCTTGTGAGGTTTCTGGTTAAACAGTCGACAGTATTGACTGCCCCTGAATAAATACTATACTCAACAAATGAAAATATATGTGAAAACAGACATGGTAAATATTAGTCTGATCATTGTATAGATAATAAACTAAACGGAACTTTAATGAATCAAAGTGAAAACGTTTCCATCTATGTTTAATATCAATCTCCTAAACAGCATGCATACACCGAATATGCACGGACTAAAACAAGTCAACAGTACTTTCTATATAAGTATAACCTTTCTTTGTGTACTTACTTGACTGCATTCACGCGTACTCCGAGTGAAACCATTTCTGTAGAAAGAAATTAAGCTGTTTATTTGCTTGTTGGTAAAGCTACTTAGTAATATTTTATTAAACAGTTGTCTTCTGTGACAGGTATAGCTCCTTTTGAGCCAAGTCTAACTCGGAGGTCCTGTTGGATAAAATAACGTGCTTCATATTCATGCTAAATCTTTTCATCTTTTGTGTTTAAGAAATGTTTTTTGTGCCAATACGTTATTACATATCAAATCACTGATTTGGTTTAAAGCTACATTGTACTCTCATATTTCAGAAGTTCAGTTTCTGCACAATGTCAAGAGAAATCCTAGTATCAGATAGTTTCCCCCATACAAATGAAATCGTATGACCTTTTAACTGTCCATCACTCCTGTCTATGTAGAGAATCTTTTCAAGTATAATGGATGTAAAGATGGTTTTGAAGTAGCAGTTACAAAGTGAAATGCGTAGCCCATATCACGGCGTATGTTTTCTTTGCCTTAACTAGATTACAAATAATGGAGATGAAGCATTATACTAGGTGTAGTTATACATACAGCGTGTTGTTTCGTAGTCAAAATTTGAATGCTCGATTACAACCGACGATGATCAGATGCTTCATCAATAAAGGTCTGCACAGCACATGCGTGGGCAACACATGGTTTTCAGAAACGTTTTGTATTTTTACCATGTGCAAGGTATCTTGTGAATGTGTCCAAGGCCGCCTTTGACATGACGTAGATACCCACTCCCGGAACCTGCACGAGAGGAAAGATTGGTAAGTTGAATGGTCTTTACATGACAGATGAAAGTAACAGATGCAGATTGTTTACTCAAGTTCATACAGATATCTAAAACGATGAAGTAGTATAAGGTTTGCTTTGGGAGCCATCAAGATAAGGGAATATAATGACCCCTAATGTGCTGTTCATTTATTTCTTAAACCTGAGAAAATCAGATTGGATCTGAGACATTTTTCTGTTTAGTTTTCAAGATGACAATAACTGAACACCTGAAATCACCCTCTCCAACAAGGTATAACTTTACCATGTATATTCATGGGGTGTTGATAGAAAACAGGGTACACAGTGGACACAAACATCAAACCATGTGACTTGCCAAAAGAGACACCACAAAGGTGGCATGCAGGTGAATAACGTTCCCTCGCTTTCTTTTGAATCTCTCAATAACAAAAGAGAGGAAACTTAAATTGCCACAACCTATTCTTCCTTTACTCACATGTGTGTGATAAGCGTGGCCTATTCTTAAATACATTGACTGGGTTTGGAGGGGGTTTGTATTACAAGTAATGAATCATTCTTGTATTTTGTCAACATCAAACTTACAATTGTACTCGTGCCGCAGGTTGAAATATTAACCACACATCCTGAAACAAAAAAGATTTGTTAAACCATATAACGTAAAGCGTACTCATGGTAAAGCTATCCACACTCACTCAAATACAAGTACATGTAAGTACCTTTAGATTCAATCAAATGCGGTGCAACTAACTGTGTCAAAAACACAGGTGTCTCCACGTGAATGGCCATGATTCTGTCGTACAGCTCTTTGGTCACTGATTGCAGCGGACTTGCACCTTCGATCCCAGCATTGTTCACCTAAACACGGACAAAAGATAACACAATTGTTTGTTGATTTGTTCAACATCCAGTAATGTGAGGACAACATGTACACATTCCAGAGAATCTTGTGATTCAGCAACAATTATGATATGGTATCCACCAGTTATCAAATGAACATCCGATGTCTTGAGTGGCCTCATCCACCTATGGATTGGCCTAGTGGTTCCAACATTGGTACAGATCTAGATCAGGATCCCAGATCTCGGCTTGTCCGTGGTGATACTGCCATAATATATACACATTGTAACAAAAGCATGTTGAACTTAATGGATTCTCCGTGTAATTGGTGTAATAGTTTTAATTATTTTACTCACGGAGGGAAAAAAGTTTAGGGACATGCTCTAACATTGTTTTATGATCAGTCACTTCGTGTGGGTTACGACATTTGAAGGATGGATCTGTAATGAAGCCAAATTTGTAAAGAAGGTTTACTATAGCTACTAGCTGCACGACGTATTTGCATATGTAAGTTTTCCAATACCATCAGAATAGTAAGGAGGAACTGAGATTAAATGTGTCCATGCTCGATTTGAATTTCGATATTGAAACACACATTCTTACATCTCAAAATAATCTCCATCTTTTCGGAATTTCATTGGGAAAAAAACGCATGAAAATGTTTATTGTTCTTTTAGACATAAATCTTAATGGTTACTTCGTGTATGTAAAGATGACTTAGTTGAAAGAGTGGTCAGATTGGTGCTTGCATCTCGTAGAAACCCTACTTCGTGGACCGATGTGCACAACATCACGCACTGGATGTTTTTTTATCCTACCACTGTTTATGAGCCACTGTGAAATTGATGGACTCCATCGCGATTACAAGACAAAACACCACCAATTTCAAACAATAAATTCAGATGGACGTGTCTGGTTCCGGATTATTCAAAACCTGAAATGTTCCATTTTTTCTTTCTGATAGTACAGAAGGTGCTCGTGAGAGAACAAACGACTAATTCTGGTGCTTGCGTTCTTCAGTTCTTTCTTTATTCCAATTGGATATACAAGTTTGTGTTTTGTATGAGTTCAAAGGCATAATTCGACTTGTTTTTCCCGTTTTGGAACACAGCGTTGTGTTTGTGTTTTTCATCTAAGGTTACTAAGCCAGATAACTACTAGCAAAAATAATATTTTCGAAAACTAATGGTTGAATGAAACGAAATTCTTCGTATATTTAACAGAAAGGTATGCATGCATATGTCCTTCCAACCCTTCTAAAGTAGTTCCATGTACTCACAAGAATGTCTATTTTCCCGAACTTCTTCCTGGTTGCTTCCACCAGAGTCTTTCTGAAAGCATCCTGTGTAATGTCGCCCACGTTTGTGAGAACATCCTAAAACAGAACGTTAACACACGATTGTAAATCATTCCATCTATATGAATGTGAATTTTATTTTATTTACCAGTGAGGAAGATGAGCTATTAATTGGTTAAGGCATTAACTTTGCAACACGATTTGAAACGTACCTGTATATCGTTGTACGCGGTCAAGGCACACCTGAAGGGCACGACTCAAAAGGACACGCAATCAATCATGACGCATGGGACAGAACGGACCATGTGTTTATAAATGGATGGGCATAGAATTAAATGAATGAAAACGCATGTGGCCGTGTCTAGCAACTCAAGAGTTCTCTATTGATTTCTATTTACGTTAGATGCTTCCGTCTTGCACTTCTTAACCACTCCCTCCAAACCCTTCTGGTTCCTGCCTGTCAATGAGAGTTTGGCGCCTTCTCTCGCAAACACTGCTGCAATTCCTGCTCCAATTCCTGAACTGGAACCTGAAAGAAAGAATGTGTGGACTGACATCAACTACTTCCCAATTGCAAGCATTTGATTGTATGTGTGTGTGTGTGTGTGTGTGTGTGTGTGTGTGTGTGTGTGTGTGTGTGATTGTCACAATAAACATCAGCAGCAGCCATGAAAATGGCAACGGCACGGATACAACAATCAGGCATAGCAACTGCCTCGCACACGATACCAGCATCAGAGTGGCGCATATCATCTGCACATGGAGCTTCAGCAGTACATAAGAACCAACAGCAACTTCAGCACCAAGTATCCCCAAGAAAACAGTATCCCCAAGAAAACAGTTTCCCCAAGAAAACAGTTTCCCCAAGAAAATCAGCACCACAAACAACTTCAACAGACAAACCAACAACCTGAAATGAACATTAGCGACGGCCTCAGAACCAACACCAGAAAAAGCTTCACATACACAACAAAAAGTACAGACAAAATATAAGCAGAACCACAAACACCAACAGAATCCAACAAACGTTCAAGTCACCACAACCATATATCAAGAAAGCCCTGCAACAACACCTAGAAATCACATTAGGAGCACGTCAAACTGCAGCAGTAGGCCGACAAACATAAACACCAGCACCACTACCAGCATAGCTACAACAAGCAGCAGCAGCCCGACCTACATCAGCTCCAGCACCACAACCAGCATCGTTACAACAAGCAGTAGCAGCCCGACCTACATCAGCTCCAGCACCACAACCAGCATCGCTACAACAAGCAGCAGCAGCCCGACCTATATCAGCTCCAGAACCACTAACAGCATCGCTAAATCAAGCAGCAGCAGCCCGACCTACATCAGCTCAAGTACCACTACCAGCATCGCTACAACAAGCAGCAGCCCGACCTATATCAGCTCCAGAACCACTACCGGCATCGCTACAACAAGCAGCAGCCCGACCTACATCAGCTCCAGTACCACTACCAGCATCGCCACAACAAGAAGCAGCAGCCCGACAAACATCAGCTCCAGCACCACAACCAGCATCGCTACAACCAGAAGCAGCAGTCCGACCTACATCAGCTCCAGTACCACTACCAGCATTGCTACATCAAGCAGCGGCAGCCCGACCTGCATCAGCTCCAGTACCACTACCAGCATCGCTACAACAAGCAGCAGCAGCCCGACCTATATCAGCTCCAGTACCACTACCAGCATCGCTACAACAAGCAGCAGCAGCCCGACCTATATCAGCTCCAGTACCACTACCAGCATCGCTACATCAAGCAGCGGCAGCCCGACCGACGTCAGCTCCAGTACCACTACCAGCATCGCTACATCAAGCAGCAGCAGCCCGACCTATATCAGCTCCAGTACCACTACCAGCATCGCTACATCAAGCAGCGGCAGCCCGACCTGCATCAGCTCCAGTACCACTACCAGCATCGCTAAATCAAGCAGCAGCAGCCCGACCTACATCAGCTCAAGTACCACTACCAGCATCGCTACAACAAGCAGCAGCAGCCCGACCTACATCAGCTCCAGTACCACTACCAGCATCGCTACAACCAGAAGCAGCCCGACCTATATCAGCTCCAGAACCACTACCGGCATCGCTACAACAAGCAGCAGCCCGACCTACATCAGCTCCAGTACCACTACCAGCATCGCCACAACAAGCAGCAGCAGCCCGACAAACATCAGCTCCAGCACCACAACCAGCATCGCTACAACCAGAAGCAGCAGCCCGACCTACATCAGCTCCAGTACCACTACCAGCATCGCTACATCAAGCAGCGGCAGCCCGACCTATATCAGCTCCAGAACCACAACCAGCATCGCTACAACAAGCAGCAGCAGCCCGACCTATATCAGCTCCAGAACCACTACCAGCATCGCTAAATCAAGCAGCAGCAGCCCGACCTACATCAGCTCAAGTACCACTACCAGCATCGCTACAACAAGCAGCAGCAGCGCGACCTACATCAGATCGAGCAAAACTACCAGCATCACAACAACAGGCAGCAGCAGCCCGACCTACATCAGCTCCAGCACCACTACCAGCATCGCTACAACAAGCAGCAGCAGCCCGACCTACATCAGCTCCAGCAAAACTACCAGCATCACAACAACAGGCATCAGCAGCCCGACCTAAACCAGCTCCAGCACCACTACCAGCATCGCTACAAGGAGCAGCAGCAGCCCGACCTACATCAGCTCAAGCACCACAACCAGCATCACTGCAACAAGCAGCAGCAGCCCGACCTACATCAGCTCCAGTACCACAACCAGCATCGCTACAACAAGCAGCAGAAGCCAGACCTACATCAGCTCCAGTGCCACTACCAGCATCGCTACAACCAGAAGCAGCCCGACCTATATCAGCTCCAGAACCACTAACAGCATCGCTAAATCAAGCAGCAGCAGCCCGACCTACATCAGCTCCAGTACCACTACCAGCATCGCTACAACCAGAAGCAGCCCGACCTATATCAGCTCCAGAACCACTACCGGCATCGCTACAACAAGCAGCAGCCCGACCTACATCAGCTCCAGTACCACTACCAGCATCGACACAACAAGCTGCAGCAGCCCGACAAACATCAGCTCCAGCACCACAACCAGCATCGCTACAACCAGAAGCAGCAGCCCGACCTACATCAGCTCCAGTACCACTACCAGCATCGCTACAACAAGCAGCAGCAGCCCGACCTATATCAGCTCGAGAACCACTACCAGCATCGCTACATCAAGCAGCGGCAGCCCGACCTGCATCAGCTCCAGTACCACTACCAGCATCGCTACAACAAGCAGCAGCAGCCCGACCTATATCAGCTCGAGAACCACTACCAGCATCGCTACATCAAGCAGCGGCAGCCCGACCTGCATCAGCTCCAGTACCACTACCAGCATCGCTAAATCAAGCAGCAGCAGCCCGACCTACATCAGCTCAAGTACCACTACCAGCATCGCTACAACCAGAAGCAGCCCGACCTATATCAGCTCCAGAACCACTACCGGCATCGCTACAACAAGCAGCAGCCCGACCTACATCAGCTCCAGTACCACTACCAGAATCGCCACAACAAGCAGCAGCAGCCCGACAAACATCAGCTCCAGCACCACAACCAGCATCACTGCAGCAAGCAGCAGCAGCCCGACCTACATCAGCTCCAGTATCACTACCGGCATCGCTACAACAAGCAGCAGCAGCAACACACGGATCAGGAAATGCCCCATGAAATATAATTGTTTTAAACTGTTTGATAAGCTGTCCCAAGTGACAGTGGAGGGTGTCATTGAGTGTCTAGTGAGTTCTTATGGGCTATGATCGATGTATGTATCAACGTGTATGCTATCCACAAATCATGTTTTCATACGCACTTGGTATGTGGCAAATGCTGTGAGGTGTTTCGGAAGATTAAATGTTTCATTGGTGAACAAATGTCGCTGCGGCGCCACTTTGTCCTCGCAAATGTCACCATAGTCCCTTTAGAATAACCCTCTACCTCTCTTGGGGTACAACCAAGTACCAGAGACTAACCAACTCGTGATTTCAATGTCTTTTCAGCTGGAACAACACTTCTGTATAACAGGAATATTATTGCACTACCCGTTTTAATAGTTGCACTGTGCCTGAACTAGGTTATTTCCCCTTCCACTCAGTCTTTGCTGTAAAAGCTATGCTACCTATCAAATGTTTATAGACTCACTTAAAGCACTCACTATATGTTATGTATATATATATATACATATGGTTACATCGAAGATGGTAGTCTTGACTGTGGACTTTGTGTACCCCTCTGATAAGTGTTAATTGGCACGGCTCCCATGGTCGAAAGCTATGAAATACACAATGACATTTTAGAAAGTGGTCAAATGTAATATATGTTATATTTGGGATTACACTTTCTTAGTAAAAGTACTAGGATCTGTACTTTACTAAGAAAATGTAATCCCAAATATAACATATTGGAAGTAAGTAGAGTAGACTGTGCAATGCTTGCGTAAGCTTGACACCAAAACCTGATGCAGCACCTTACACTGTACGGTCACTTGCCTGAATCGTGTTGCCTATAAACAGGCAGTACAAATTGATCCTCAAGTGTGTGTAGATTTGGCGTATCAATGTATCATTTATCAAGGATTTCCTTTTCAACTTATATCTTAACCTGTTCATATATCTTAAATTCTGTCTGCGAAGGTCAGTAAAAGAACTAGAATATCACAGTTGGAGATTTAAAACTAGCGTACACATATATACCATTTATGACATTACAACAGGCTATAGATCGCCAGAAACTGAAGGTATATCACCATACTAGGGACCATGGTGACTTACAGTACCTGTGCTACCTGCATGGACCTTAGTTGGATTTGCACCATCCCCCCAGCCGCTGGCGATTGTAGGAACATGTAGCCGAAATTTACAATAACAAAGATACTACATTTTAAAAACAATCGGTTCGTTGAAATTTTACTTTGAAAGTTTTGGGACTTACGCATCCTCTCAGGAGGACAATATACTTTAACCCCCTTTGACGATACAGCTTCTAACAATCGCAGTTGCTAATTTATACTGCCATGTTAAAAGACCATGTACCTATTTACAAAACATGTCATTCAAAATTTCTCTTATAATTCTACTTTTTTAATAAATCAATAATTAAATGATAATTAACATTTTCAAAAAGATCCTTAATTGTTTTGACCTTAAGATTATTATCCCTTGTGATGGAAAAGTCACTGCGGTCAAGCAGGACATGCTTGACTGTGATTCTCTCATCACAAGGGATATAAAACGGAGAATCTTCAGCTTTGAGCAAATATTCATGAGTGTATCTAGCATGGCCTATATACGACATCGTCGGATAATGACCTCTTCAAATCTAGACAGACAACCCAAGTAGGTGTAACCGATATTTGGTTTTATTTCATGTAATATATTTATGCCTACTTGAGTGTCCCCCTTCTCTGCATTAGATCACGGATATAAGATCCAATGACAGCTTTGTAATGTATACACTACACGTCAAAAGAAACATTACCTTCCTACCTTTATGAATTACTTAAAAACTATTAAAGATATGTTAGAAGCTTAACAAGACAACTTTATGCAAATCACGAAAAATATTTCTCAAATGCATTCATATTTAGGTGAAACGCATCTTTTTCAGAAGAGTTAAATTGCCCTATTTTCGTCCATGCCGAAATAACCCAATAACAGTGATTTAGATGTCCCCAAAAAAGTTGAAATAAATTCTGCTTTGGCACAAAGATAAACCATTTAAAGTCACCATTTTTCAACTATTTTAAAACAAGAAAAACTGTTTTAGAGTGTGTAAAATTGTAAGATAATCATTCCTATTATTCCAGTCTTTTAAAACATTTTGTGCTATTTTGCATTAGTGAAAACAAGTAAAACGTGTTATGGTATTGTGAAAAAATGTTTAGGAATATGTTAAATTATCTTTGTTATCTTTGTTAACATTTTTGCTTGCAAAGTAACATTTTTCTATTTTCTGTTTACACATAGCAATATCAATCGCCAAAACGAAGCAACATTCAAGCAGTATTTGCATCCATTTCACATGTAGAATGATTCTATAGGGTATGAATAGAGCTTAGAATGCATGATATGATACAGTACGAGAAATAGGCCACGATTAACAGCTGAAGAGAGAGAGAAAGAGCCATTGGGATGGTGCAGATGGGGTCGACATACGATGTTGTTGCCAACGCCCTCGGATGCCAGCGTCTCACGGTTATAAGATTTTATGCAGGGCTGCAGACAAACTGGGGTCACCGTAGACAGACCAAGAAGTGGACGCCCACGCATCACAACGCCAGTTGAAGATAGGTACCTCCGTCATTCAGGAAGGAGGATAATATTTCTTTTGGCGTTAAGTGTATATCGTGAAATTAGACACATGTTTTCACCATTCATAATCAAGGGTCCTTCAGTACAGGGAGGAATGTGATAAACGTGAGCTCATCATCTCCTCTTACAACAAGTATTTGTCTCACATACCAATCTCCAGGCATACACATATCCTCACACAACTGACACCCTGACCAATCAACTTTTGACACTGTATTCTTCCCTACTTGTGTCTTACATACCAATCTCCGGGCATACAAAGACATGAAATGCAGATCCTTACACAATTGACACCATGAGGAATCTCACCTGTAATGAGCGCAACCTTTCCTCTCAATGCCATGGCAACAGGAATTGCCTGATCCAGCGTCCGTTTGTTCGACTTACAGTTTTACGTATTTCACGACTATAAGTTAGCTTAATATATCGCTATGGCTTCACGCAGCGTCGTCACATGTAGCTGTGTGCACCCTTGCCTGCACTGTGAGTAAGTACTCTCTGTCCCGCGCTATCGTTGTGTAACCTTGACACCAAAACCTGAATTTGCACCGCAAGCTGTGTATTGCAGGCACCCTGAATTTTCCCTGCGTGTTATGTCTGAGTGAGTGAGTGAGTTTTCGCCACACTCAGCAATATTCCAGCTATATGGCGGCGGTCTGTAAATAATCGACTCTGGACCCGACAATCCAGTGATCAACAGCATGAGCATCGATGTGCGCAATTGGGAACCGATGACATGTGTCAACAAAGTCAGCGAGCCAGACCACCCGATCCCGTTAGTCGCCTCTTACGACAAGCATGGGTACTGAAGGCCAATTCTAACCCTGACCTTCACGAGTGTGTTATGTCTGACTAGAGACCACAAATTGATCCTTCAAAAGTATATAGGTTGTGTGTAGATTTGGCGTGATAGTATATCAGTTAGTAAAGATAAATTAGCTTAGATTGTTCAGTTTCTGGGTGTAGCATGAGACTGCTGTTTGATGATGGGACAATCAAACGTGACTTGACATATATATATAATATACGAGCATGTTTTCACAACTGTTTGATGTGTGTTCTGAACCACAGGTTGTGTATGCAGTTTAACAGCAAAACCCAAATAAATGACGCCGACTAAAACAAACCAAATCTGGAAAAGACAAACTTTTGATTGATATCATGAGCAACCCCCATCATCATCTGACACTGACAGGTGCTTGGAAATCGTCTGTGAATTTCTGGTTTGAAACTAGATGTTATGGTGTTTAGTAGCAGTGTCCCACAGTACTTCTGACAAAGAAGCGCCTTAGCCAGCTCGCCCACCATGCCTCAAATATACGCTTATGTACCAAACTATTTAAGATCATGTCTTTTTCGTGGGCTTTGTGAGTGTGACAGTGAGGATGGCTTTACGCCGCTTTTAGCAAATTTCCAACAATATAACGATGGGGACACCAGAAATGGGCTTCCCGCATAATGTACCCATGTTGGAAATCAAACCCGGGCCTTCAGTGTGGCGAGCGGACGTTTTAACCACTAGGCTACCATCCAACCCTCGTTGGCCTTGTGACAAAATACACACAGCAAAAAGTGATGTGTTACCTCATAAAAACAAAATATTAATTACACCGTCAGTTACTGTTTCCTATAAAAAAGTAGATTTTACAAATGTAACTTCCATATGTCAGTGGCCCCTATACTGATTATATCTTTTAGAATTGTATGTTCATTGTCAATGAAGTTCTATATCAAACTATAATATGCTGTAGGGTTATCACAACGGGAATATATAGTTTGAAGTACTGTCCACTCGTGTATGCCGGCAGTTACACCTGCAAGGAATTCATTTTATTGTCAGTTTTATCATTTGCATGTACCACTATCTGAAAACAGTCAGACTCATATGTATGTGTTTGTCATGGATGACTGGTAATATTGTTATTATTGTTCCTAATACATGCCAACAAATTACTGCCTGGAGGCTTAAAATGACAAATCAGTAATAACCTCACTAGAATAAAAAGCACTCAACCAATTACAATGTATATTGAAATTCCAAGGATTAGGCTAGCATTAAAGTTAATCTAATGGCTGAAATGTTGGGCAGCAACTTAAGATAACAGGTCCTTTTAGAGAAGTGCTTAGAGTCGGTGCTTTAACCGATGTCCAGTATTTGCCACAGTAGTCATGAATGAAAAACGTCCTCCATGCTTGAATTCTGGACAAGTATATACATCGCAAGGTAGAAGGAAGTCTCGGGCAAGCCTCGTCTCGTCTCGTCTTAGCCTCGCTCTTTCATACAATGTAGGTTCAACCAGCTTTCTAGAAAATGTTATCCGGAAGCTATTTGTATAGTCCTAAAAGTATATGAAAGTAAACAAACACGTAAACAAGCTCCTTACTGTAGTGTTCTCGATACTTGCAGCGTAACGGAGATGTCAAACGCTGTGACAGAGTATGTACTTTAAACAGTCAAGGGACGTACCTTTCTGCTGGCCCCGTGAAGATCTGAGTAAGAATTATTCTTTGGCAACACGTGCTGGTCTTAAGTGGCGAATGGTCAGGCTCGCTGATTTGGTTGACACATGTCATCGTATCCCATTTGCGTAGATCGATGCTCCTGCTGTTGATCACCTGATTATCTGGTCCAGACGATAAAAAAATGGCGTGTCACTTGGTGCATTTGTATACAGAGCAGGTTGCTTGAATGCGAAAAGGTCATTCATGTAAATTGGAATGTCAGGCTCAACTGACGTTTATGGAAGACATAGCAAATGACAGCGCCTTTCGGTAGCTGACAGAAGATTGATAACAAATTGAAAGGTCCGTGCATGGCATATGAAAGTTACAGGAGCAGACCCCTTACGTGGGTAACCAAACATAATCTTACCTAATAAATATAAACCAGATGTAAAATGAAAAAAATCATCTTGGGTTCAAGCCTTGATTAAGTTCAAACAGTACAAACAACGAAGTCATAGAACACCTGTAAAACACCCTACTCGAGACATTTAATTCTTATTTCTACATTTAATAATTTTATGATAAATGAGATATACAAGAGACAAGGAACGTTCACGCCTACACCAGTCTGCTGGAAGTCACCGTGACCGTGGAAGACACGATATAGCTCACCAAAATATTCCTACTCGACAACATACGTCGGTTTAAAGTGCACGTCCGAGGAATTACCTGATAACCAATTGAAAACCATTTCGTAATTTTGTATAAAACAACCGATGAACAACCATCAGTAGTGTGCAGTGTCTCCCTGGCGTCGTTTTCAAGATGGCGGCACATCCGGTCCCCATGGGCGCCGCCATCTTGGATCCGGTCAGGGGAGATCACTCGGGTTCCGGTTCCGGTGCTTCCGGTTCCGGTGTGTGTGCGCACGCATCGCGATGACGTCACGTCCGGTTCCGGTGTTTGCGCGCATGACGATGACGTCACCTCCGGGCCAAGATGGCGGACGCGTTTCAAGATGGCGTCCCATCCGGTGGGATCGCGTGAGATCTCGTGGGATCTCGTGGATTCTCGCGGGATCTCGCGAGCGTAGACGCCTTTCAAGATGGCGGAACGGACGAGCGGCGGACGGGACGGAGAGGGGACGGAGAGGGAAGGGAAGGAGAGGGAAGGAGGGAGGGAGGGAGGGAGAGAGGTGAGGCGGACGATGGCGTGGCTAGACAAGTGTTCAAGCAAGATGATCATATGTTTCCATCATGTGAATTACTTGGCTCATGTAATTTCACTTTCACACATTTAAGTACGTTTGAAATCAACGTTCACATGACCTCAATATTCTTATCACCAAAGAGCCTGACAACAAAGAAAGCGGTATTACGCAAGCTAACACGCCTTATTAAGCTGCACTCGCTCTTGCTACCAGTATCAATTACGCCTTGTCTGTGGTGTTGGCAAATCATAATAAACTTTAAAGTTTGTTTCACTAACGCAAAAGTATACAATAAGAAACAATGCCATATCAAATTATATATTCTGTGAGACATGAAAGGAAAAAATGTTTTTATCGAGTAGCGATTATGACCGGATAGCACAGGCGGGTGCGTTCTCTGAGTATATCATAGACATGTTGGATCTCCGTGCCTTTTGTGAAATTCGTCTATATTGTCCTGTTTAAATTGACGATCCATAACTCAGATTGCGAGTAAATATCACGTAATTAATTGTGATGTCGCATTGCTGTAAATTTCCCTGTCGAAGAAGTCATTCTCACAAGATGTATATTCCCTTGTTTGGAGAAGATCTATGGCTATTACGCCCCAGTGTTGCTAAACATCTTATAGGCCTTTAGTCTGACACAGACGCGGAGTGAGTGAGTGAGTTGAGTTTTACGCCGCACTCAGCAATATTCCAGCTATATGGCGGCGGTCTGTAAATAATCGAGTCTGGACCCGACAATCCAGTGATCCACATCATGAGCATCGATCTGCGCAATTGGGAACCGATGACATATGTCAACCAAGTCAGCGAGCCTGACCACCCGATCCCGTTAGTCGCCTTTTACGACAAGCATCGTCGCCTTTTATAGCATGCATGGGTTGCTGAAGGGCTATTCTACCCCGGACCTTCACGGGTCCACAGACGCGGACATCGCATGTTCAGGTTCTGATCGGACAGGGGCTGAAAATATCATTCCGACATGAATACAATATCTCAGTGTTTTCCTAAGTAAGTGGAGATCTTTCTACAACATTGGAAATAACTCTATCGTTATCCTTCTGATATTCCCCCGAACGAAAGCTCTATCCATTTAGGGTACAATGTGTAAGTTACAGAATTGTAGGGAATAGTCTTAAGACTTTTCTACTTTGACCAAGATTCTTCGAACTTGTAACAGTCGTTTGTGAAGATCAAAAGAGAAAAGGGTAGTGCGCGATGTATGTGACGGACGTATATGGAGAACGTTCGAAGAACTTTATAAATACAATAATAGACACAGCACCAAAAAGCGGATAGTAAACCATTGAAATATACGTAAATACAGTAGGAAATCCATGCCATGACCGGGTTTACGTATGTTTTCAGATGTTTCCTAACTTCGGGCATATATTTCATATGAATCTATACCTTTGAAACATATGTTCATCGTACATTTTCGTATGCACAAGCACCTCGTTCATGTATGCCCTGACCGGATTGTCGGGGATTTCCAAATATGAATTGCAAAACAGATACCCCGGTAAATACATGATCATACAGTATTTCCAATGCATTCCTTTGAATTTCAGTGGGTGCTGAAATTTCCGATTTCGTTCTAAGTTTACTCGGGTTGGAAACATGTGAATTTACTTAGGTGGAGAAACACAAGTACATTTTCAAATTTGCAAATGTTTACACACCTTAGATATTTATGTATCATACCGGATTTCAGGGGTATGTATATGAACGGTTCATACACCATCATGTTACCTGTATTCAAGCAAGATGATCAAATGTTTCCATCATGTGAATTACTTGGCTCATGTAAT